AATTTTGCTTCAGCATCAGGATTTATATTGATTTTTCCTTTTTTACGTACAGTTACAAATTTTGCTATGCTCAAATGAGGTGATAGATGAGGGAAATATTCAATCAAATCTTTACTTTGACAATTTTAGGCTTCATTTGTACTATTCCCTTTCAAAATCTTTGCCACAATTTAAATGCACATCTTATCCAAGTAAGGTCCATATTGAGGAACAGAGTACATGTAGTAAACAAACAACTGTTATGACTTTGTTCACCTATTCGTTCAATCACCAACTCGACAGACTGAGAAGTCTCATCCACTTCAATACTTTGTGTATCTTGCCCCAGGCGACTACTGTAGATGGCAAACATGCCATTGGCTGCATCATTGGTCTCTATGGTAACCGTTGTCACAGCAACGTCTCCCAGGCGTGGGTTATTTTCAGGGGCAGCGGCGGCCCCACCAGCCAGTTCCACCCGCAGAAGTTGTACAAGGAAGGACTCATCAAGCTCAGGAACTGTGTCGTTTATGATTTGGATCGGGATGTCAAAGAATGGCAGTCCACCAGGGAATGTGATCACATCACTTTGATGGGACACAAAGTCCACACCTGGCTGTGCTTGGCTGGCATACAGTTCATTTGCCTGCAAAACAAGGACTTGATACTTGAAATATATGTCTTTTTAAAGACAAATATCAAAGTCATCCTGATATCCAATTGTTCTGTCACACACTTGCTAATAGATACAATTCAATATCTAGAAGAAACATGGAAGATAAATGGTACAATATAACATCTGTGTCCATAATATCACCAGACAAATACTTTTGGTATGCACTCCTGCACACCTCAAATGTACATACCTAGAGTGTATTGCAGTAAAAATATCTTTAAGCACACTTTTTCTCAAGGTGGCGATATTATGGACCCTGGTGATATTATGGACATGGATGTTATATCCCTAACATGCAGGACCATCAAAACTGCATTGCATCACACTATTTCATCTGAAACGATAATGTAGGCAGCTCTTACATCAACAGTATCCTTTTGATAGTAGACTGTTCCAGTGACAGTTGTGTCCACTTGACTGCTGTCCACACCGACCATCCAGGAGCAGTTCCTGTCAGCAGAGCTGTACTGGAAGGATGAGCAGGCCCTCTCCAGCAGACAGACTCTTGCACAGGCCTCCAGTGGATTGCTTTCTCCAGAAACATCAACAGAGGTAGTTGGAGCTGTTCAGACAAAGAGGATGTCAATCAAAACTCCAAATTCTTAACCAGTTGACCTAAATCTGGTTCTCACAATCTTCTGGACTGGTTAATTTCTGAAGTAATAAAATGATGTAACATGGAACTTCTGAGTTGACAATAGCCTGGCACAGAAATAGCAGATGTTGATACCCTTACCGTTGGTGATGCTTCCTTGGAGAGTAGTGGGGAAGTAACTCATCACAGTACGGCCCATCTGACCAGCCAGTTCTATCAGGTCAGTCATCCCAGTGCTGTAGTACAAGCTGAGATCCCCAAACGTGCCATAGCTGGAAGGGAAAAATTTGTCAGTAAATTTAGTACATTCAATATTCATCATTTAGTCTTGTATTTGCACATAAAAAATTATGAAACACCAAAATAGTACCTGAAGTAACGTTATATCCTTTATTTTGTATCTGTACCATGTGTGTGTGTGATCTTTACATACCACTTTGACTTTCTATGAGCACACAGAAGTTTATTATCATGGTAAAATGTTAAATACATGTATGTATTTGACTGGTTTACCTTCTGTTGACTCTAATCAAAGCTGTATTTTCTCCAGCGAGGCTTTCCTGCACACGGTAGCTGGAGGAGGCAAACTGCACCACACCATGTGGGTTGTCATTAGCTGGGATGGTGATTCTCGAGACACCCTGACTGGGATCAATGTTGGCCTCTTCCCCATCCTCTGTGGTCACTGTGGCCTTGACCAGGGTGATTTCAACCACCTGAAAATGAATGTTACCCAAGACAACTTTAGTTTTGGTTTCTATTCTGACATATAAGTTCATCTGCATTGGTCCATGGAATATAGCTACTCTACAGCAATCTGGATCATAACTTCAACCAAAAGCAGGTTCAGGAGGCTAACTTTTCTTACCTCATCATCTTCTGGTACATTGTCTGACAGGACTTCCACCATGAATGTTTCTCTCCGATCATTGCTGACAAAGTTCAGTACCCCGGACACTGGCTGTATGTCATCAGAGGCAGCAATACCTGAAATATCATCATCTATTATTGCATCTTGTTGTATACATTACAATCCATTATGATGAATGTACATCAATGAATATTTGGGGGTTTCAGAACAATAATACAAGTCCAAAACTGCTGAATGCAAATTAGGGTGAAGTATTGAAGAACAGAAGTTATTGTCTAAAACATGCGACAGAGGCTCCTGTGATTGTAACTTACCATTGATTGTCCCTGTCCAGTCCACAGTCACTGTTCCCATTGCTCCACCAGATCTCAGAACAGTCAACTGCAGACTGGTTCTTCCAGAGTCTGGCTCAGCTACAGTATGGCTGTTGACCTCAAAGCCTGAAAAGTAGATAATATAGTTCCCTTGAAGTTCATACAACACAGCATAAAATGTAGGAGATGAGCTTCATTGATAAATTATAGATGGATCTAAGCATGTTTCAGATCATCCACCATCAAGTTAGGTCATGAAAGTCACAGAAACATTCTAATACATCAAACGTCTTGCTTCAACAAAGACTCAATCTATATAGACATCTCAATGATATGGCAACAGAAACTTACTAAAGACACCATGTGGGTCATCAGACTTGTCTATGGTGACTAGTGTTTGGGTGATGTTTCCCAGCACAGCTCCTCCAGTCAGTCCTGTTGGCAGCAGTTCCACAGTAAACATCTCCTGCAGCTCAGGGTCAAGGTCATCCACGATTTCTATGGGAACCATCTTGGTGACCTCTCCATCAGACAGGATGATGTCTGAGGCAATGATGTTGTAGTCATCAGGCCTGGCAGTGCCTGGGGTGGTCCTGAACCTGACAGATACCTGCAAGGGGAGAATACAGTTTGATACTCTGTGTTGTAAACAACGAAGGCTCTCTATAATTCTTATCTATGGATTTTTTAAATTAAAATCTAACATGTATGAGGACTGCTCATGCAGCAACACATGATGACTAATATTACTGTAACAAATATGACAGGATTAGGTATAGAAAAGCCAATACATATTTAGAGGTTGAATCCAGTCTGAAGAATCCAAACTTTTTTTTGCTCTAATCATTTATTTATGTCTTGCCATCAAGTGGCCAGCAAAAGGTGCAAATATCTTCCTTACCCTTCCAAATGCACCTGCACTTCTTGTCACATTAAGGAAAGGTCCAGTGACATCCTCATCAACCATGACACTGCTGGCTGACAGTTGCAGGATGCCGTTGGCATTGTCATTCTGCTGGATAATGACTTCTCCAATTGCCTC